TGATGTCTAACCCTACATCCATTTCTAAACTGTCTGTGGTATCAATATCTAAATTAGCTAATACAGTTTAGTATTATGAATTCAATATATACAATCCAACTATATGTCGAGGTATACACCAATGATGAGCAGAGGTAGCTATTCACAGCAGCTTTACAATACAGTGTATATGTCGAGGTATACATCCATAATGACCAGAGATAGCTATTCATAGCAGCTTTACTATACAACTGTATATGTCGAGGTATACACCAATAATGACCAGAGGTAGCTATACACAGCAGCTTTACAATACAAGTGTATATGTCGAGGTATACATCCATAATGACCAGAGGTAGCTATTCATAGCAGCTTTACTATACAACTGTATATGTCGAGGTATACATCCATAATGAGGAGAGGTAGCTATTCATAGCAGCTTTACTATACAACTGTATATGTCGAGGTATACATCCATAATGACCAGAGGTAGTTATTTATACAGCTTTACTATACAACTGTATATGTCGAGGTATACATCCATAATGAGCAGAGGTAGCTATTCATAGCAGCTTTACAATACAACTGTATATGTCGAGGTATACACCAATAATGAGCAGAGGTAGCTATTCATAGCAGCTTTACTATACAACTGTATATGTCGAGGTATACATCCATAATGACCAGAGGTAGCTATTCATAGCAGCTTTACTATACAACTGTATATGTCGAGGTATACACCAATAATGAGCAGAGGTAGCTATTCATAGCAGCTTTACTATACAACTGTATATGTCGAGGTATACATCCATAATGAGCAGAGGTAGCTATTCATAGCAGCTTTACTATACAACTGTATATGTCGAGGTATACATCCATAATGACCAAAGGTAGCTATTCATAGCAGCTTTACTATACAACTGTATATGTCGAGGTATACATCCATAATGACCAGAGGTAGCTATTCATAGCAGCTTTACTATACAACTGTATATGTCGAGGTATACACCAATAATGAGCAGAGGTAGCTATTCATAGCAGCTTTACTATACAACTGTATATGTCGAGGCATACATCCATAATGACCAGAGGTAGCTATTCACAGCATCTTTACTATACAACTGTATATGTCGAGGTATACATCCATAATGACCAGAGGTAGCTATTCATAGCAGCTTTACTATACAACTGTATATGTCGAGGTATACATCCATAATGACCAGAGGTAGCTATTCATAGCAGCTTTACTATACAACTGTATATGTCGAGGTATACACCAATAATGAGCAGAGGTAGCTATTCATAGCAGCTTTACTATACAACTGTATATGTCGAGGCATACATCCATAATGACCAGAGGTAGCTATTCACAGCAGCTTTACTATACAACTGTATATGTCGAGGCATACATCCATAATGACCAGAGGTAGCTATTCATAGCAGCTTTACTATACAACTGTATATGTCGAGGTATACATCCATAATGACCAGAGGTAGCTATTCATAGCAGCTTTACTATACAACTGTATATGTCGAGGCATACATCCATAATGACCAGAGGTAGCTATTTATAGCAGCTTTACTATACAACTGTATATGTCGAGGTATACATCCATAATGACCAGAGGTAGCTATTCATAGCAGCTTTACTATACAACTGTATATGTCGAGGTATACATCCATAATGACCAGAGGTAGCTATTTATACAGCTTCAACTGATTTAAATTTGTAACAAGATGTTTATATTTGATGACTAAGTTTAAATGTCTTCTTTTCCTATTTATTTTTATCTTTTTTTATTGCACTTTCTTTCAAATTCAAGGCCATGGACACTATTCCAAAATGAATGAAAAAACATGTTTTATACTGTGAAAATATCTATATATTACTGTTCTCTTAAATTGTTAATACATTGTTATAATTGTACTTTAATACTTGATACTTTGTGATGCTTTATATCTTGACAGGACATATACTCAGTAAATGAAATTAACAACTGAAAGGAAGATTTGATTTTTTAACATACATCTCTTTGGTTCTTGATGAATTACATTGTATATTGTATCGCTTAAAATTAGAATTATTGTAATTGTAAATCAATTACTTACCAATTTTAAGTCAAACTTCATGTGTATAACTACAACATAGTTCACTTAGTATTGGACAATCAAGCATGCTGTTTTGACTATCAAACGTGCTGTTTTGACTATCAAACGTGCTGCTTTGACTATCAAACGTGCTGCTTTGACTATCAAACATGCTGCTTTGACTATCAAACATGCTGTTTTGACTATCAAAAATGCTGTCCTGCATGATTGCCTTCAAACTAGAGAACACTCAGAGGATGACTTTACCTACAATATAGCTATCACAATCAATTCCGAAGCCTTAATACAAAAATAAATATCTACAGAAAGTAACTGATTATTACTCAAATAAAACACGTATGAGTTCATTCTCTGATATTTTAAGGCCACCCTCATCAAATGTTGGGGTATTCAAATTGCCTTTAGTCTGTGGCCCGTGGCCCTTGGCCCGTTGCCCGTGGTCCGTGGTCCCGTGACCCGTGACCCGTGGCCCGTGACCCGTGACCCGTGGTCCGTGGTTCCGTGACCCGTGGCCCGTGGTCCGTGGTCCGTGGTCCCGTGACCCGTGGCCCGTGGCCCGTGGTCCGTGGTCCCGTGGCCCGTGGCCCGTGGTCCTTGGTCCGTGGTCCTACCGTTAACATATTTTGTTATCACAATTTCTTGAGAAATAGATCTCACTCATATATCATATGTAGGTTTACATTGGTCCTTAACTGTGCCTGTTTGATATTGGAATTGATACAAACATACGATGATCGGTTATAAACAAATAGCTGATGACTTTAAGTTGGTGCCAATCGGTGTTAATTAGAAAACACAAATACGTTGCTTTGTTCAAATGTGTTTGTGAACACTTAAGCTGTGAACACTGTAACTAACGTTGATTGGTTTATAACTGATCCAGTATGCGACAGTATTTACAATTTATACGGTAAAAATATTCGATAATTAATAAAATACGTTTGATCGTTTGCATTTGTATCTCAGTTGTCCTGGGAAATCAAAACATTCGATAGAAAGTGCTGTTGCTGCGTATGCGTTATCATCTTTTCTCGTAGGGTATCGAAATAGGTCAACTACCTAATTTGATACCGGCAGTGACAACATTACATATTCACAGTTCTGTTCATAAACACTCGCGCTCTATTAAACACGAGGAAATGACGTTCTTGATCCCTCGGTGTTAAAAAAGGAATCGCTAAGCGGCAAACAAAATATTAAGGTGAAGCATTACAAGTTGTTATCAATTTTGTGTGGCGTAACTTTCCAGCACGCAGCGTTAGTAAGTCCTTCTCAGTTATGTACGAACTATTTCATTTTATGAAATACTATACAATATTTTTTCGAAGTGTTTCTTTTTATGAAATACTACACAATATTTTTTCAGAGTGTTTCTATTTGTGAAATACTTCACAATATTTTTTCGAAGTGTTTCTATTTGTGAAAACTTCTCAATATTTTTGAACGAAGTTTTTTATATTTGTGATATCACCCCAATATCTCCTACTGGTTGTGCTAGAAGATGAAGGTGATCGTGTAGTCATATAAACGTCACACTCTTAACCTTCTACTGGTTGTGTTATAAGATGAAGGTGACTGTGCAGTCATCGAAACGTCACACTCTAATCTTCTACTGGTTGTGTAATAAGATGAAGGTGACTGTGCAGTCATCGAAACGTCATACTCTCAACCTTCTACTGGTTGTGTAATAGGATGAAGGTGACCGTGAAGTCATCGATACGTCATACTCTAATATTCTACTGGTTGTGTTATAAGATGAAGGTGACCGTGTAGTCATTGTCACACTCTAACCTTTTACTGGTTGTGTTATAAGATGAAGGTGACCGTGTAGTCATCGATACGTCATACTATAATCTTCTACTGGTTGTGCTAGAAGCACTACTTTTCTATTGACATCACCAACCTAAAGAAAGTGTTCAGAGACATTCGTCATTATTTTTCTAGTGTTTGTCACAATTGCATTAATTGCTTAGCTTTCCAAGTTATGTACAAGGCATAAAACGCCTTATGTTGTTCTTAAAGACCAAATTCTACTGTGCTTGGAAATAGGAGAATAATGTTCCTGCTGTGTTGCACTAAATGTTGGAGAGGCCTGATGGACGGACGTTTGAGAAGCTGAAACTGATCACTTGATCCTATTTAAATACCACGGAACTATTCTTTAATTTCCTTTTGTCTATATTTGATGTTTGAGGGCGTTATGTAACGAAAGAAATAATTTCATTTCTGTTGAATGAATATGATTTAAACATATTGGTCGGCAAACTGAGTCTTTACCAGCCTTATCTCTGAAAATGCTTACATCATAAAAAAACTGGTTACAAATGTTTTTGATATTACTTAGCTATAGAAAACTCTATAATAGTTTTTCCTAATTCTGTATTTTCTATCTATTTTCAGTCGCCATGAAGATCCAGAGTATGCACTTAATTGCGATAATCATATTTGGTTGGCTGGTTGGTATTTCTCTATTCTTCAATCAATGGCAGATCTGGAATTACGCGAAATATAGTGTCGCCAAGATCGCAACAAAAATGACAGCATACGACATTCCAAGTGAGATTCAAAGAGGACTGCCAAGAGCAGTTATCGTAAATGAGCCGAATGCACCTCTGGTCACCGATAACAAAACGATCTTTTTCTTTAATCCAGTCCACTGGGTAAATGATTGGATCGGTTCACACAGGTGGGGAACATCTCAAGTATTCAAAAACTGTCCCGTTTCTAATTGTGTTTTGTCTAAAAACAAGACACATATGAATAAATCTGACGCAGTAATATTTAGAGCAGCAGATGCGACTGTGTGTCGGAAAAAAGTAAAACATAGACAAATTTGGATTATTATGGAACACGAAACTCCGTTTTCATACGGTAGATTTAAAACTTGCCATCGTAATATGTTCAATTGGACTATGACGTACCGACGTGATTCCGACTTCACCTTAGTTCACGGCCAGTTTACAAAGTCGTCAGGATACGACGAACACGCCCTCGATACTCTTATCAAATCGAAGAAAAATGCGGTGGTTGGGTTTATTAGCCATTGTAAAACTCTAGCGAAAAGAAGTGAGTATATCGAAAAACTAAGGTCATACGGTATAGCCATTGACGTGTATGGCAGGTGTGGAAAGCATACCTGCCATTCCGGAGGGGACAGATGGAAGGCAGTATGGAACTCCACATCAACCGTTAAAGACAAGAACAATTGCTTTAATGTGCTTGACAGTCAGTATAAATTCTATCTGTCTTTTGAGAATAGTCTGTGTACTGATTACGTCACAGAAAAATCGTTTCATCTTATATTACGTCATAATATTGTGCCAATTATTCGGGATGGTTCAAATCACTCTTTATATCATCCTCCAAAATCGTATATACATACTGGAGATTTTGAAAACGTAGCATCCTTGGCCAAACGTTTAAAACAGCTTTTTGTGAATGTTGATGAATATAAAAGTTATTATAACTGGAGGAAACATTACTCTTCTGAAACAATATCTGGAGTATTACAAACCGAGTTTTGCAACATATGTCAACGCCTACAAGATCCACTGAAATATCAGCGTTCATATAATGACATAGACAGGTTTCTGAGATCAAGAGACGACAAATCTCCTATATGCCATGAAGTAAGAGATGTGTAATTTTTGCTTGGACGAAGGAAGTTTTTTATCAAAATAATTCGAAAGAATAAAGACCCTATTTACTTATAATATCAACTATTACGTAAGTCACCAACATCAAACAGATAAACCGATTAGGTAATGACTTCGTATGATTATTGATGCTGCACACAAATACATTGTTCATTGTGAAAAAGATTTTCTATCATTATACCATTTCTTGATTGTAGCATTTGGCAAGTTTACCTTTATTTTTTTATAGAGCAAGATTGTTCTTACCTGAATTGCGTTTGAGAATGATTAAATATGACATTTGTAATATCAGATATCTTCTTTGTGTGTAATGTTTATATGGTTTATGAGATATAAAATGCCAATATAAATTTTTTTTTGAATACAAGATATCATATGAAAAATATAGGATGTCTTAATCCTTTTTATACGCCGCCGGAGGCGGTTGTATAATGGCGTCATCTTCTCCGTCTGTCTGTCCGTATGTCGGTCCGTACGTCCAATTCTTGCGAACGCAACTCCTCCTAAACTAATCATCAGATTTTCACGAAACTTGCTCAATGTCACTGCTACAATGGCTAGATGTGCATGAAGGAGCGATTTTTCGGTTCGTTGATTTTTGTAAGATTTATGCCATTTTCAGCTTCGTATCTGTAGCTTGCTCATAGTGGAGCCTTGTGAACGCAACTCCTCCAAAGATTATCATCAAATTTTCACGAAACTTGCTCAATGTCACTAATACAATGGTTCGATGTGAATGAAGGAGCGATTTTTCGGTTCGTTGATTTTTGTAAGATTTATGCCATTTACGCCACCAGCTTATAACCAACAAATTAAGATATCTATTATTTGGGATTGTTATCTACTTTATATAAAGCTTCCGCCAGTTTATGGCAGCAAATACATTTTTCGTAGATCGTGTCCAGATAAGTATTTCTGATACATCAATAGCTGTTGTCCTAGATGGGAATACCGGGGGTGTTATTTGACAATTTGTTTCATTTTCTAAGTTATATATGACAGTACAAGAGTTATATCTTCCATATCTGGCCAACTGTAGATACAGTTACAGAGGGTAGATACCAAGAGAATACCATATTGACGGTGTGACTAGGACTGTTGTACTACTTGCAGTCAACTGAACACATGTATGTCCATATTCAGGAAATTAAAGTAGTTTTTTGTTATTGCACGTTTTCCATGATATGCATGAAATAAACAGTTCTTTGATGAACATAACACACTAACTTGTAGGGCTTTGTATGACTTTCTGGCTGCTGAATGGGATATATCAATGATAACGGTTCTAAATGATGATGTATATCCCATTACCAATTTTATATTCCTTCAGTATTTACTTATACTCTATCAAATATGATTTGAAATGTTAATTTGATATTATCTATATATTATCTATTATATATTATATATACCTATAAGTTTGAAATGTAAAAAAAATACGAAATACACCTTTCAGAAAGAAATAAGTTACTGATAAGGTTATGCCGAACAGCTGTTCCATAATTGCGAGTTCTCGTCATTTTGAGCTTTAGATTGCATATCAATGATAAAGATACGAACCTCCCCCGTTTATGTTTTATTCTTAAACCTCATCATAATCCATATCAACAATGCTTTATTGCTTGCCCAAGACAACTAGTCTCCAATCAATGTCATATCTGGGTTGCAGAATTATCGTGACACTGTTTATTAAAGAAGTAAAAGTTTGTGGATTTTAAAGAATTCCAAACAATTTTGGACAGTCTGCAACACCCTCTTCTAAAATATTTCTCCTATAAGAACATTTGATCATCTCCTCCTTATTTTTCAAGCTTTGTCGGGCTTCAGTATCATTGTTATAAGAGAATATTTTTTCTGCATATGTTTCATAGGCTAAGAGAACAAACTCTGTAGTGCTTCTTTGAGCGAGTTTTCATGTACCCTTCATTTCCTCTTGACTCTTGACGCAATAAACGTACACGAAACCATTTGCAAATTTGAAGCGTTGTGTTGTATATTATTTTGTATAATATGACAAGGACAGAAGTAGCTTCACTGTTGACACAAAATAAAATCAGCAAAGGATGAAATGTAAGTAAATATGCTTTAAAACAATTTTTGAAATTCCGTCAACGCTAATTCCAGTTAAAAACATCACATTTTATTCAATTTGCATGCACCCGAACAAGAAAAACTGAATTAGTAAAAAATATAAGATATTTGCGAGTGTTCGAATAGTAACTGATACTTTACAACACTTCTCAAAATGTAGCACTAGCATAATGTAAGGATGTGGTAAAATTACAACACATTTCAAACACAACCAGAAGGTTGTCCACAGGACAAGGATTTTCATTTTCCCCTCACGTCATTCACACTGTCACAAGATGGCCTTCCTTCTCAACTCATATCATTCGAACTGTCACAGGGTCGCTCTAATTCTCCACTTATAAGGGGGCTCGTTCTCCACTAATATTATTCACATCGTCACAAGAGGAATCATTCCCCCTTACATCATTCATTCACACTGTCACAAGAGGGCTCTCATTCTCCACATTTATCATTCAAACTGTCATCAGAAGGCTCATATTCTCACGACACACCATTCACACTGTCCAGGAGGGCTCTCACACTCCAAATACATTATTTACACTTATGTAACCCTGGTAAAATACTAGCCGCAATATACCACGCGGCTAGAGAGAACTTCTCTTTAGCTCGATTGGTTGAGCGTCAGACTAGTAAGCCAGGGGTCCCGGGGACCTCTGTTACACTATTACAGGAGGGCACTCATTCTCCACACACATCATACATACTGTCACAAGAGGGCTCATATTCTCACAACACATCAATCACACTATCACAGGAGGGTTCTAATTCTCCACACACATCATACATACTGTCACAAAAGGACACTCATTCTTCACTCACATCATTTGTAACAGTATTGGTATAGACGATCAGAGTTGTCGCCCTTATAAGAACTCCCTGTATATCATTATGTAATCCCTGATTATGTGTGCCCGGAGGTAAAAAAAAATAAATAAATGGCTGAAGTTGGAGCACGCTGTCTCTCGTCGTTCCTCCCGAGGGTCTGGCAGCCCTCTATTATAAGGTGCTACCATTTCATCATTCAAACTGTCACAGGAGGACTCTCCTCTCCACACACATCATTCACACTGTCACAGGAGGGCTCTCATTCTCACAACACATCATTCACACTAACACAGGAGGGTTTTCGTTCTCAAAAACACATTATTCACAATGTCACGAGAGGGTTCTCATTCTCCACAAACATCATACATACTGTCAAAAGAGGAGTCTCATTCTGCACTCGCATCATTCACACTGTCACAGGAGAGCTTTCATTCTCTACTCACAACATTCATACTGTCACAAGATCGTTAACATTCTCCACTTATATCCTACACACTGTCACAGGAGGACTCTCATTCTCAATACACATTATCACGTACATCTGTGTGTTACCTGGGTATTGTGGTGCTGTGTGGGTCACGCGAGTTGGCGTGTGAGCTGTAAGCGTAAACAGCAAGTTTCTCCTGTCCAGGTAGCGGGCAGTACGGCCTTGGTGTTATGTCACCTGTTTGCCTATTTCATGGAAAATTGGCGTCATTTTTGGCATGAAAAGGAGCCCAGATATCTGATTAGGGTAAGTATTCTTTCTGTCTTTAGTAATATGCGGTTTTCTGTGGTTATTTATGGCCATATTTTCCATGTCCCTATCATAGGTCAAGCCATCTATTATAGGTGCGTGTCGTAACTAATCAGGATTGTAAAATGCAGGCTTAATTTCTGGATATAACGCTTAATTTGCTCCTTTTGTAATTGACGTTCTTATTGTACATATATATTTGCTATTTTGTTAATAATTTAGTTGTTGTATAACTGCTAACTACCCATAGAACTGCTGTTAAGTTCGAGTGAAATATCTATGGAAGGCCGGCATCGCCTTATTTGTTTCGTGTAGCGATATTGTACTTTTTGTTGAAATTTGATATAGAATCTCATCACGCACCGTAGAATTCATTGTCATACATATATTTCATAGAATGTTAGTAGCGAATGATGGATTATCTCTTAATTGTAATTTGTGGAAAAAACTAGGTTAGTTATGGTAACTATCACGAGAATGGATGTACGAGTGCTTAGTGTTCGTTTCGTTTATCTTTAAAGCTTCACATGGCGATTACAACACTGTAAAGGATACAGAAAGATACAGAAGGTCAGCATTATTGGAGCGCCAGGTCTTCCGCATGCAGTAACGTGACCGACTTAAGATCAGCTGCAGGAGGGATTGTCTCCAGAACAGGTAGGCGATGGGCTGGCGGTCGTCACAATGCACCACCCCCACAGCTTGACTTATTTGGTATGTCGTTATACCCATGTGCCGAACATTTCATAAAAATGATATTAACACCAAAACAACTCATTCTCACTGACCCTACTGAGAGTATTTTTGCATTTGGTCAGATGCCGACCGGACGCCAAAAATTGGGGGTAGGGGAAACGTCTGGGCCTCTATCTCAGAGACCATAGACCCCACGGCTACAAACTACCCCTCATTCGTTT